TACACTACAGTGGTCCCTCGGTTAACGAACACAATCCGTTCCAGCAGGTTGTTCGTTAACCGAAAAATTCGTTAACCGGAAACCATTGTTTCAATGGGTTTTTGGGTAATTGGTTCCAGCTCACCGAAAATTGCCTAAATTCAACAAAAATGGTAGAAAAGTTCACTTACTTTGAGGTGTGTATGTAGAAGGCTCCTGGATGATGATGATGATGGGAATTAGAATGGGGGTGGAGGAGAAGGAAGAAGAGAAGGCATTGGGGTGGAAGAGAAGTCACCACATGGCACCATTTCACCCTTAAAATTTTAGTTCTCTTGGTGTATTTCAAGATTATTTTCTTTAAATCAACACTGCACTGCATTATATATTGTCAATATGCAAAATATATTTCAAAATGACCAATAATTTGCTTGGAAACACAGAAAAAAAGCGTTTAGTTGAAGAGCAAGAGTCTCAAGCAAGATGTTACCTCCAGTGAAAACAGACTAACGCCTGTTTGCTGTGTTAAGAGGCTGGATGCCGCACATTAAACTAGTCACTTTACCTTCAATTATGTTCAATAATTGTTAAAATGACTAAAAAATTGAATATTAAACTTTTAAAATTATTGAATAGTATAAACTTCTTGATATTTACTAAAATAGTAAGGAATTTAAGCCCTAGAACCGATTAATGTATTGGCGGACTAATACTAAAGCTGGTTGACCGGCCAGTGCAAGCGAACACATGTTGAGGTCGGTTCGTAAGAAATTCGTTAACCGAATTTTTGTTCGTTAACCGAATTTAAGAATCTTATGGGAGGCAGTTCGTTAACCGAAATTTCGTTAACCGAGGGACCACTGTATAGGCTCTTAGCATTGGATCTGTTGACTGGTTTAAATCTTAACTTCTCATAAAGGAGAATCTGAGGACCATTGTTCTTCTTTTGCTATACAGTACATACAGGTAATGTAACATGTCCATTATTGTTAAGTGTAAACTTTTGTTGTATGGTATCCTGAAGACAGTGCTCTTTTAGTTAAGCAAAAAAGTAAAATAATACAGTTAAGAACTTATCATCTGAACTGGAGCCATGGAGCCAAGCAAACAATGGTTCACGTGCATTAAAGTATCCCTACATCTTGGAAAGGCTGCCACAATACGAGGTCCGACACAAAAATAGCGAGACTGACCCTTTGACTCGGGAACCAAGAGTTGGAGGGGAGGGACAAATAGACGGTTATTGAACATGTTCTAAGCTGTCACAGTGTGACAAGGCTCAACTCGTTCGCTTCACTCAGTACAAGTGGAAGACTGTTGAAGTACAGATGTGTACTTAAGCTCGGTCGGAAAATGTCGGACTGCAAAACTGAGTAACAAGTTAACATCAAGTTTCTCGTTAAACTTAAGAAATCCGCGACGGAAACCTTTCAATTATTGACTAAGGTTTATGGTGAGGATTGCAAGTCTAGTGCACGCATTTTCGAATGGCACAAACGATTTTCGGAAGGCAGAGAAACTGTGAAAGATGATCATCGCCCAGACCGTCCACACACAGCAGTTACCGATGACAACATTGAAAAAGTGCGAGATGTGATGAGAAAAAACATAGGTTGGGTGTTCGAGCAATAGCTGAGAAAGTTAATTTAGACAGGGAAAATGTTTGACGCATTCTAACGGAAGAATTGAACATGACAAAGGTTTGTGCAAAAATACTGTCAGAAGAACAACTTGCCAAACCACAATGCTTTGTCTATGAAGCAGTTTTTAGCCAATAAAAACATCACTGTGCTTGAGCACCCACCCTATTCACCAGACCTGGCTCCCTCCGACTTCTACTTCTTTCCAAAGATCAAGTCCGTGCTCAAAGGAATCAATTTTTTGTTGGTAGAAGAGGTGAAAGCAAAAACGACGGAGCTCCTCAACACCCTTATAGAACATGATCTGCGGAATTGCTTTGAACTGTGGCAGCTTCGTATGCAGTTGTGTGTCAACTCAAAAGGGAACTACTTTGAAGGCGATCACACTTGATTTTCTTAATTTGGTAAATAAAAAGAAGAACACCGCAGTACAGTACTTAACGGGGTGGTGTGGCGGTAAAATTAACTAATTCCAATATTATAAATTAATTTTATTGGAATTTGTTAATTTTACCGCCACACCACCCCGTCAAGTACTATTCTGCGGTGTCTTTCAGGACTCATTTTCTTAAAACTTGGGTTGAAACACGATGACCCTCTTCAACGGAAGAGGGTGTTTAAAACTCCGAGTGTAAGCCTTCTTTTTTAGATAGCTCACATCACCATTACTTGGGTGTGACTTAGAGTTTTAAAACTATAGGCTTGGTGAGAATATACAAAAGCCACATATGGTGGAAGTAAAGCCGTAAGATGTGGAAAAACAACTATGGAGCAAATGGATAAAAAATCCAAAGAAATGCTAAGTATGCCTGCAGATAGTACAAAAATGGATGACGAAAGAAGAAGCATAATCAAATAAGACAATAAAAATTACAAAATTAAAGCAAAGAAATGTGGATAAATATATTGGTACAGGTAATAGAATGAGTGCAATTTTGAGTAAATATATCATATTATCAAGGAGACAATAAAGAAATACACAAGAGTGATTCCAGTGTCAGGACAGGAAGTGTTTTAGATGGCAAGAAGAGATGAAACAGCTCCAAAAAGATAAAGTCAACATATTGGAGATAAAGCCAACATTTTGGAGTTTAGGAGGACCATTACCTGGGAGGGCATAACATATTGTAGGTGTGGAGAGAACCACTTTGAATTCTCCCCTATTTCCTTAAACTATTTTTATTCCAGAGGGAGATTATAGACCACACAACCAATTAGGCCTAGTGAGCAGTAAAACATGTTTAATACTGATGACTGCATGGGTGTGTGATAAATTGTCCTTTGTGCCCTCTTAGACCTTGAACCATGTGACCACCACTTTAGATATCATTGGTGGTAAGCAGCACAGTAACAATAAAACAAAGTCTGATTCTATGCTGGGATAAATACCCAAACTAAATTTGAGACTAGAATTTCAAAATAAACCTAATGTTTCCCCTAAAATTAAGGTATTTTATGTATTTACAGGTTGGGTATCCCTTATCCAAAATGCTCTGAAATCCAAGTCATTTCATTATATTTATGGTAGACAATACTGAACATGGCATATACATGTATCATACTTTTTACTAGGGTAAGTATGTAGGTGTAATGAATAAAGGCAAGACACAAGTTGCTTAGTGCCTCAGAGTCAGGCATCGTGGCGATGCCAAACAGACGGTAGTGATTGCTTACCGTTCTGGGTCTTTAGAGTACATCTTATCATATACTGTATTTTATACCCAAAATTATTAAATTATATTTCATAAAACTACTTGCAGAATATATGTATCCTTATGCTGTAAAAAATATATAAATGAATTTTGTGTATAGACTTAGGCCCCATCTCTGCTGGGTGAGCTACCACATTATATAAGTTTTGTATAGAGTATATAGGTATTCCAAAACCCCAAAATATCCCAAATCAAGCCCCTGAGGCCCGAATTCAGAACAGTGATTTGAGCCTGGGATTTGAGCTCGGCTCAGGCGTTTGTGTAAATTGGGATTCTTTGATCCGAGATTTCCTGCAGTGAGTTACCCATATTCAGAACATCGGCTTGCACCCTGGATCGGGTTATCTGTTGCATTTTTCAATTGCGCGCAAGGATTCGAACACTGAAATTCCAGCCGATCACATTTCAGTTACACCATTATGACAACCAATCACCATCGAGAGTAATGTTTACAAGATTATGGCGGCAACTATGACTCGACGAGTTTTTACGGATGAGGAGAAATCTCTCCATGCACATCATAAGTTACTTTTGTTACTATAATTGCAATCAAATTATGATCAAATTATAATGATTTATGGTACTGTTACAATGTGGCTGTGTTGTTATATGATGATAAAGAAATTCATAGAGGAAGAACAATTACATACAAATTGTAGATATAATCCAGTACAATTGTCAATATTCATAACCAAAGCAATATGAATCAATGCAGGGCATAGTAACCTGGCTAGGCTCTGTTAGGGTTCTTTCTGTTCTTTTAACCCCACAATTTCCCCTGATTAGTAATGTTAAGAAAAGATTTTCCTTTATTTATACAATAAAATCAAAATGCACTCAGCATTGATTCAATTATATTGAAAATTCATCAAAAGTTTTCCTAAAGAAAACACTAAAAATAAAAAATCGTCAGCATTCTTTACATTTACCTGCTTGATCCTCATGAACTCTAATCATGAAAGTTTTGTAACACATTACCATAACTCATTTAGTACCACATTATTTCTTACTTGGAAACTATTTGTTGTGAAGAATCTCAAAGCAATCATCAGCTGATGAATGGAAGGTAGAGGCAAACCATAGCTAACAGGTCTGTCAAGTAGATGCTCCATATCACAGGAAATATGAAGGAAACCTCCCTTGCTGAACCTATATTGTTGTCTAAATTGAATGTCATCATAAAAATTGATAGGATTCTGCCTATCTGCCACCAGTCTTCTCTCAACAAAATTTCCAATTTGACAATATCACCAAAAAAGCGCGGTGTCAAAATTCATGTTGAATTGCTATCTTGTTTGAAGGATCGACCGCTAAACCTGCCTCCAGGCTGGATTAACGCAAGGATCGACAATTCCGATCTCAAACCCCGTTTGAGTCTTTGTGTTAGCTCAAGCCAGTATTCTGAATACCAACAATCTTCAATCTTCACTCGATCCTTGGTTTAAACCTTCACGCGGTTTCAAACCAGCATTCTGAATTCGAGCCTACAGGCCCCAAGGATTTCGGATAAAGGATACCCACACTGTATAGTTTGGCAAACTTCTTAACCTTATAATATAAATTTACTCTCATAATTAATTTCAATACCATGTCGTACATTAATCAACTACTCAAGCTAAATGGTATAATAACATTTCATTCAAGTGCAAGTGGAAAAAAACAAAACAAGTTTTGTTAAGCTTCAAAATTTAAAGCATTTATTTTCTTAATTACATGATTAACCGAAGTTATACATCCTCCACTAGCAAGAATTGAAATGGAAAGAATGTTATAATTATTGCAACTTAAAACAGGTGTTTAAAGTTCTCCAACATTATGCGCATTAAGTATTCCTACCATTTTTTTTTTTCGTAAATTATATAATCATAAACTGTTAAGCATTTCACTGTCACACTAACACCTTCCCCTCAGTCTCACTCTTGAAGGGGGTGGCTATGAAAGATGAGCTCCCAGTCTACCCTCTTACTTTTCTTCTTCTCTCAATCCCCTCCAACACACTTCTTAATGTATGGTTCCACACTTTCCCCTCCTGTGATGTACCTCGTCTCTCTCTATCCAACACAAATGCTATAATGCCCCAGTACACAAAGCATGCAAGAAAAGGCTCTCCTTCTCTTCCACAATTTACACACTCTGCCTTCTTTTTCATTCAAAACATTCCGTATGCTTCATTACTTTTAATGTCTTCCATTCTGGTAATCTGCAGATGTCTCTCTCGGGTACATCATCTCTGCTATAAATTTAAGTAGGAACATTATAAAGATTTCCTTCCTTCCCCCAAGCTTACATCCCACTGTTTCCCCAGTCCTACTCCATGTTTTATTATCTACTGAATTTCACTTTCCAGCATACAATTCTTATGTGAGATTACTTCAAAATATCTGCAGCCAATCTCTGACATTCTGCAACTAAAATCTTAATTTCAATTGAACACTTTAATTCACTAAGTTTTCTAATCAGTGTGGTTTCCTTAAATACACTATATCAAACTACATTCTCTAAAAAAAATCCTTCTTTAATCTTCTCCACATTTACCTTCTATCACACAGTTATAGTTATTTCCAGCTTTCAAAATTAGTTTTCACTGTTAAAATCACTGCATCTTCTGCATATAGACATTACCAATGGCCACAAGCCACCTTCCAAAATGGGATATGAACACTGGTTTATCTAGACAACAGAAAACTAAGCATAGGATTTTAGTAATGTCAATGCGGTTTAATTAATGTATTAACAGATTTTTAAATGCTGCTACATATTAGTATTAAAATATGTAATAATGAAAGTTGACTTTATGCACACCTTGATCACATTCATTTAGTTAGGATGGTGACTGCTATGAAACTTTCAAAACCATATTCTTGACAAAACAGATTTACGGCCATGCTGATTTTGCCCGTGCAGAAACTAAATTTGCAAATTTATTGTACAGTATATACAGTATAGTTACCAATTACTTTAAAATTACAGATAAATAATTTAGCCATAACCTTTAACTCCCACTCAACTGATTCCTGATGTAACCTTAGATATTACTTGCTATAACAAATCTGCTGCGCCCCTATTCACAAGGGAAAGAAAAGTCACCAAAAAGTGGCTTATACACAAGCTTAACATCCTCATCATTTCAATAAAAAGATAAATCAGCAAATAATCTATGCTGCCAGTATAATTCTTAATGCCATACAGGCCATCGATACTCACCAAGAGTAGCTACACGACCACAGCAAATACAAAAGATCTAATGGAGATAAACTATACATAACATCACATAGGAGGTCTCAAATTATGGTGATATAAATTTTTTGCAACATGAACAAATGAGTAAGACAAAAGTTCTCAAGCAGTCTCTAAAGAGAGTAGATGCCAATAATTTTCTCACTTACCACTACAGAGCATTGGGCAAAATGTATACATTCACTCATCATGGCAATGAAGGACATGGAGATTACATACAAGTTTCCATGTAATTGCATATGAAGACACTTTGTTCTTGGCAGTGGTGATCTTGCCTATTATTAAATGAGTACCTCATAAATATTCATAAAATTACAGCACATAATATGAAATAAAATATTCACACATCTTCAAAGTCATTCACCACTTTCAGTGAAGAATCCATCAGTTTCTGGGTAATAATAATTACATGGCTTTCTAAGTATTGTACCAGATATTGAAACCAATCATTCAGGACTCCAATCAAACTGATTCGGCAGTTTCACCCACTTTTGATCACATTCAACTTAAAAGTATAAACCAAGTTTATTTTCAATATATGGAGTCCTGTTAAAGCATGTAGCTGAACAAAGACTACATAAGTAGTCTGTCATAAGAAATTATATATCAATACGACTAGGACTTATTAGAGACAAGAACTCCCTGAGTGCCTGTTGTGGAGTCTGACTGTTGAGGTTCTTTAATATCTTCTTGTCCTCTGATTTTGATATTATGCTTTGCACGGAATTCATTGACTTCCTTTCCCTTGCTGACCAGCTTGGAGTTGAGACTATCAATTACCTTCGTTAACTGTAAATGAGGCAAATATATGTAATCTGACACAAATAAAAATTACAATATAACGTATAGTAATATTGAACCAAACATTCAATAAATCATCCCCAACAAGGGCATGCCTGGAAAAAACTGACTATGAACAGCAGGCGTTAACCACACAAGAAATTTGATAAATCCTTTCTAAATGGGAGGTGCAAATCATAATTAAGTCTATAACAATGATACAGACCATAATTATGAAGCAACTGTTATTAAAACACGAAGTTCTTCAGGAGCGCAACTGCCATGTTGTACACAGTAATGTTGATCTGGTTTTTGTACGAAGAAGATTCAGTTGAAATAGGTTTTAACCAGCTGATTTATTATAAGGAAAATTATGCTTATATGGTTAACAACGGAGAGATAAGAATAGTACTGTACTAGCAACATACTTGTTCTTTATTGTTCTGCAATGCAGGCAAAACTTCCATTACAGTACGTTCCACCAAAACTCCTCCAACCATGCGGAAACACTTCCGATCGGGAGACACATCTTGAAGAGTCTCAATTACAATTCTGAAAATAATGATTGTTAAAACATAGATAAAAATACTAACTCTCTAGCAATTCTCTAAGCTGATAATTTAGTTTTTGTCACAAAAGCAAAAAAGTAAAAAATAAATAAACTGGTACAGTTGTGGAAATGTGTTTCTACACCCGGTGGTAACCAATGTCTCTAAACGCCAACATCACGGTAGTGGCATTAGTATTTATGAATGAATGGGTATTGGTCGTGCAACGACGGACGTGATTGGTGGATAGGTTTGCTATAGGTCATATAGGTTTGACTGTTTGGAGACATGGGTTACCATAGGGGGTGTAGGAACACATTTTCACAACTGCACCAGTTTATTTTTATTTTTATTTATTTTTTTTGCTTTTGACAAAAACAATTAATCATCAGCACCTGTACTTACTGTAAGATAATGTTCTATCGAGTGGAGGAGTAGCACTCACTAATGTAAAGAACATATACAGGGGTACAACATTAATGCAGTACTAAGGACAACCACATAAAGGACAACACTTATTAATAAAAGTAGAAATTGCAATTTTTGTAATGAAATTATGCATTATTAGTTTGGCAATACTGTACACATAAACCAACAAAATAACCTATCTAACCTTGGATGAAAATTTATTATTTCAGGTAGCAACATTCATGTGGGCAAATGAATTTGTATGGTAGAATGCTTGCATAACATGGCTCTGTCGCTCATGAAGCGAGTGACAGCGTCTTTATTTAAAGGGAAAACTAGGGGCTAAAACCTGAACCTCCACCTGCTTTTCTTTAGTCTTGAAGTAAGAAACAAGTTTTCTTCAGTATTCTTGTATTTAACAGGCATAAAACCATGAGAGCCATTGTTGATATTCGGCTAATATGAATTTATCATTCATCAATGAACCAAACTAACCCACCTGAACTTGAGCTTCACCTAAACATTACCATATCAGTATTATTTTACAAGTGGACTCTCAAAACATGTACAGGTGTGTGTTATAGGTAGATCTCACCCATATCTATAACTTTTCTTATGGTATTTCTATTGCAAATTACATATAAGCGAGATATTTACAAATTTTTGATATTTAATGTAAATACTCCTCTGAAAAATCTGTCGAGACACTTCGTCGTCTGCGTTTACAACTAACCCAATCGGTCAAAGCATACTTTCCCACAAAAAAACATAAAATTACACCCTGATGCTTCAACAAAGCTGCTTTCATTGGTACCAGACAACAAAATAAGTATTTTTTCTTTAATATGGCAGCTCCATACCCTGTTAGGAAGTTAGGTAGGTTTCTTTGGTTTATTGCATCAGATTCTATTAGGTTCATCATTATTCATTTGCAAAGGAAGTGTATAGAATGAAAGTTACTCAGAATGATGAGATATATCCACTGCAAGTATTAAAAATATTAAAATCGTTGAAGAATCCACTTTTAAACATTTACCATTATATCATTCAGGTTACATTAGTTTGGCTCATTTTATGAAGAACAAATTACAAAACATTACAGTTGTATCTAACACTCAAGAAAGTTCTCTGTCACACTAAATGTCAATAACAGCGGTCGTGATGTTAGGTACACCTGTTAAATACAAGATTATCTTTTTGATTATTGAGATCTTTCATTAGGTTGTTGGATAACCTGTCCTTATACATTTCAGATATAAAGTAGCAAACCCCTTACTAACCTTCACTCATCCCTGTACTATATCAAAACCTTAACAGCCTGAATGTTCATTATGTATACTTTACACCTCACACTTTCTGCTTTATATTAAAACATAAGAAATCATAATGGTGGTTAATATTAGGCCATTAGCTGTCCGCAGGTTCCCATCATGTTACCTGAGGTTAAATTTGGTTCGGTGGGGTGGTTCGTTCTTTTGGTATGAGAATAGTTTTATTATTATTATTTTTTTGTGTGTTTTACTCAAATTTGACCTACATTTTTTTTGCAAATTAGCAGTTTCTGTTAAAAATGAAATTTGTATTTTTTGGCAAAAGAAATGAATGTCAGATTTGAGTAAAACACAATGAAAAACGTTAAAAAAAAAAAAAAAAACCTATTCTCGTACCAAAATCTGAGGACAGCCAATTGACGAATATTTGCAGAGTTAGTTAATGCCGATCACTGGCGTACAGGATAAATTGAGATATGATTCAGCTATACTGTACATCATTGGCCGAACGTGCACCCACCGGTACCTCGCGATACATCCTTTGGTAAAATGCTTTGATATAAAACATAATTAAGATGAATTCCGTTCATGACAACAGTAAATTAAATTAGCATCACTCACAGGTGCTGAACTAGACTACGCCCTGTCAGTTGAGACAAGCATGACTCGGCCGCAGCAGCCATGCTCAGTTTATACCTAACATCGTTACTCACTTGTGTTCATTCAGGTCTTGCTCCAACTCTGTTATTTTGGCCATTAAGGATCGTTGTTCATTTCTCATTTGTTGGAATTTCTGTACTATTTCTTCTCCCTCACTTTTAGTGAGGATTTTCTGAGAAGGAGCCACAATCTTCTTATCTGCCATGTTTGTTGTGCTCGGTGAGGGCTGGTCTGCTGGTTCTTTATTCTCGTACTGTTGTTCCTTTATACACTTGTGTTCCTTCCACAAATAAATATGAAGCCAACGTTTGAATGATTCTTAAATATTTATAATTCAGATTAACGAAATATATAAGTTGACAACGTTCCTTATAAAAATTGTAGGTGAAATATTTAAACGCGTTTCCAGATGTAAATAGAAAGAATGTAAATAACTACATTGTTAATTAGTGCAGGTGCACACGGTCATTCTGGATATACACGCACACACACAAATAAATAAATAAATAAATAAATAAATAAATAAATATATATATACATATATATATATATATATATATATATATATATATATATATATATATATATATATATATATATATATATATATATATATATATATATATATATATATATATATATATATATATATATATATATATATATATATATATATATATATATATATACATATAAACTTCATATTTGGCTCTATTGACAACTTCAGAATATCCACTTGATGCATGTTGTCTCAGCGTCGTGCTTTATGAGAGAAACCTCTGCCCCTTTAAAGGTTAACATTTCCCTCTTTATGTATATTTCCCAAATGAAACTCACCTTACATATTCCCATTTACGTTAATATCCCAAATGAATCAATCTAACATATTCCCACTTATGATAATTTCCCAAAGGAATCCTATCTAATATATTCCATTTTGTGCAAAAATTCATAATTAAAAATGTGTTTCATCTTTACGTACAAAATATAGGATTATGTGAACATTATTTCATCTTACGTAACCTAACCCCCAAGTAGTGTTTAGTTCGTTTAATCACCAAGTGAAATTATTGGGAATAATCTTCGGGTGATCCAAAACATATATACGAATCGTAATACAACAGGTGTGAGATTCCAAAGCCAGGAGGAGGGAGTCAATATGGTTTCTCAGTTCTGGAAAAATAACGTTTGGTCATTCACGTTATATTAGCTGAACTATAACCTTAACGATGATAATAATAATTCACTACTTATATACTACTAATACTTTTTTTATTAGGTTAAAAGCAATGGCCTCCGGCCTCCCCCAATAGCCACACCTTTGCCGCCATGTTATTACCTTAAAACTAACTATCCTAATACATAAGTAGCTACCCTGGCTGTGTTGAGTCAGTGGAGCCGCAGATCAATGCGGCATTCAGTGACTGTTGCCTCAGAGTCGACATCTGCCACTGTTGTCGGCTTTGGGGCCGATGCTCTCGTTCCCCTGAGGCAAAGCAATACAGGCCTAACCAGAGAGAAGGACAGTCGACATCTCAACCAGGCTCTAACATAACTTCTGGGCTGCTGCTTCCGTTCAGATAACACCTCCGCGAGTCTGACGTAGGAGCATCTTGCATTTGGTTCCATCCCACCAGAGGTTGTGAATACTAGAGGAGTGAAGCTGCCTTGATCAACATTCTGAATTCTCTCCCCGTATGCCCTGATCTTGTCGTTCTCGTTCCTCCTGTGTGCAGCATCGGGAGCTAAATTACGGTGACATGCGGCCATGGGATAAAAAAATCCTGATGTCGAAGAAGGCTCGCTGTCCCTGTGTCCAAAAACCTCGAGCACTGACGTCAACACGGGCTTCGTTGGATGTGTTTGAAGTCTTATGTTGGTATGTTGCTACTACTACTACTACTACTACTACTACTACTACTACTACTACTACTACTACTACTACTACTACTACTACTACTACTACTACTACCACCACAAGGAATAAACGGTAAGTACAAAACCTGTATCATTGTCTTAATTAAATCATAAATATATCATTATGTGATGACAAGTGATAAACAAAATTCTTCCTGTTTTTTCTCAAGTAAAGACGTTACATAAGAAACTGTTACCATGAGTAGCATTCTATCCAGCACTAGGTAGCGGCAGGAGTTAAAAGTATCACGAGTTGCATCCATAGAAACAGTTTGAGGCAGGCTGTAAGAGGTGGCGGTGCTGAGGGATAGATTCCTTCAAGACATAATAACCAGTGTACAGGATATATAAAATAGTGAAAGGTATGACTAACAGGCCAGAGGAAGAAAAAAGATGGGGATGGATGACAAACTACTAGCACTCTCCCTCGGACATATACAAAATCTGAAAGGATAATCTGAAAACAATTAGAGTGGAAGTCATTGAATATAAACTTATAGCTTAGTAGTACAGTATATGACCAACAACTGAGGTTATCAATACCACTAAAGTCTGTATTACTGTCCATTGATCAGATAAACTATTACTCAGATCTCATTATCCTTATTTTTCGTGTCTTCCTTTAAGAACCATGAGTCTTCCCTTCTGTTGCTTACTTAGTGTTCGATATCTATTGATAACCATGACACGTTTCCTTATTTTCTCTTTCTTTCTCTTTGTTTGTCTGTTCTAGTTTCGTTTTCATTGTGTCTGTCTATTTATCTCCTTCCGTATGTTTGTCAGTACTTTTGTCTCTCTTTCACATTGTCTCTGCTACTCTTTAAATCCAACTTTCTGCCTGAGCGTTTCTCTTGGTATTTCTCTCTTTTCCTCTTTTCGTTGTATCCCTAATTTTTCTTTTCCCATTTCTCTCCTTCCCGTCATTCCACTCGCTGTGACTCCATTCCTCTCTCGCTTTCTCCATGCTTCTCTTCCTCGATACATTTTTTCTCCATCCCCCTTTTTCTTTCATACCTTTCTTTCACCCTCCCTTCCTCCATCCATCCTCCTCCTGCCCCTCCTCCTCCTCCTCCTCCTCCTGCCCCTCCTCCTCCTCCTCCTCCTCCTCCTCCTCCTCCTCCCTCCCTCCTCCTGCCCCTCCTCCTCCTCCTCCTCCTCCTCCTCCTCGTCCTCCTCCACCTCCTCCCTCTCCTCCCTCCGTTGGGCGGAAGGAGCAGCTGTCTGCCACAACTTATCCACTGTTCCAAGTTAGTCAGGAACTCACAGTTGTCTGCTAGTAACCTTATATAAGGGCCTTGCTCCTGGTCCCTCCAGTGTGGCCCTCCCCCCACACCTGTCCCTCTCAGTGTGGCCCTCACCTGCACCTGTCCCTCCAGTGTGCCCCCTCACCCTGCACCTGTCCCTCCAGTGTGGCCCTCACCCTACACCTGTCCCCCCAGTGTATGTCCCCCACCCCACCTGTCACCGGTCCCTCCAGTGTGGCCCTCACCCTACACCTGTCCCTCCGGTGTGGCCCTCACCCTACACCGGTCCCTCCAGTGTGGCCCTCACCCTACACCTGTCCCTCCGGTGTGGCCCTCACCCTACACCGGTCCCTCCAGTGTGGCCCTCACCCTACACCTGTCTTTCATAGTAAATTCACCTCGATCCTAAAAAACTCTCCCCAAGCAGAGAATATGACACTACAGTATGTCTGGCCCTCAAGTGTTAACTGTCACTATCTTCCCAAGTCTTACCCTCAAGCGTCACCATTTCCTCAAATCTGTCCCTCAAGCGTCACCATATCCTTAAATCTGTCCCTCAAGCGTCACCATGTCCTTAAATCTGTCCCTTAAACGTCACCATGGTCATAAATCCTTCCCTTCAGCATCCATTTAACCTTAAATATGCTCCCTAATGAGTCACCATGACACTAAATCTAGGCCTGATATGTTAACGACCCTTAACTTGGCCAACAAAGGCAAGGGTTACACTAAATGTGGCGCTCAGTCATTAGGGGCGCCCTGATTGTTCCCCACAAGTTTGTTATCTAATTCTGGACCTTAGGCACTGGCCGGACTTCAAAGTTTACCCTCAAGTGCTAGTCTGGTTTTCGTGTCTCGGTGTGACCAAATGCCACCCACTTGAGTGTCAGTATAATGCAGGCATTAGTTTGGCCCTAATTATGAACCCTGGTTGATAGTGGGAATTTCAATGTTTAAGAGTTAGTGTGGCCTTAGATTTTTTTTTTTTACTGGGATTAGCCCAACCGGCCACAGGTCACTGACCCACATCAGGGCCGGGAGGAGGGATATAATAATAATAATAATAATAATAATAATAATAATAATAATAATAATAATAATAATAATAATAATAATAATAATAATGATAATGATAATGATAATGATAATGATAATGATAATGATAATGATATTAATAATAATAATAATAATAATAATAATAATAATAATAATAATAATAATAATTTTTGTGATGCCATGTGGCAGCAGGGTCTACCATTAGACAACACATTATGCTTCCAATATCGTCCCAGGCGGTAGTACCTCCCTGTTTGATAGCTGCTTACTACCTACTACCTAAAGCATTAGAGTGGCCTTAGATGTGGCCCTTAAGTGTTACTGTGGCCTAGCATATGATTCACAAGCGTTGATGTGAGCCCATATGTGGTCCTAGCCTTGGGCCTTATGAGTTAGTATGCCATTGAGTATAACCCTCGAGCGTTGATATGGCTCCTATGTACAGTATATGTGTGTGTGAACAAGAAAGTAACGATGGATAAGAGAGAGAGAGAGAGAGAGAGAGAGAGAGAGAGAGAGAGAGAGCTGGTATACATCTAGCAGCCAACAAATCGTTAACACAAAGAGGAAATATTTCGTGGTCAAAGGCTAGAACAGAGAGAGATATATGATTTATAGTTCACGGAAATTGGTGATGGTTTTTATGGTCGTGTACAGGGCGTGGGTGAGGCGGACGTGTAACGGTGGAAAAGAGCTTTTGTGTAATTCTTAATCTCTTCGTGGTAAAGAAAAAAAAAAGTTGCTGCACGACTCGAATTGTGTGGAAGTCTGAGTCATAAAAAGTTGAGGTTGTAAGGAAACGCGGATCCTGTAGCGGTTTGGAGTTAAGGTGGAAGGGGGGAAAAATGGTTTAGAATGGTCCCGTAGTCTAGTGAGGTTCAAAGGGATCGTGTTGAAGCCTCTGAGGTGGATAAACACTGAAGAGCTCTCTTTTGAAACACTTTGTATGTGTAGGTAGTGTCTGTGTTAGTGTTGGTTCATGGTTGTAATTATCAGATGGACTTGGTTGTTGGGATGGAGTGAGTGAGA